AGAAAAATTTTTACGAATTCTTAACTCAAAATAATTTGCTAATTTTCGTGATTTTTCCATATTTTGTCAATTTTTGAACTTTAAATGCTTATAAAAAAAAATTGTGACTAAGGATTTTTAATATTTTTCATCTGCCTTTTAAAAAACATATTAGGAACCTTCTATTAAATTTTCAAGCTTTCGCAACCAATAAATAAAATTTTATTGATATTTTTAGAAAAAAAACTAAAAAAAAAATGGAAAATGAAAATGTCCCTAAACAGTTCAAAATAAATCAAAATATTTTGAAAATGTTATCGTGTATAGAAAATGCAAATATAAACAACCAGTAAAAATTTCATGTATATACGTTCATTTGTTTTAGAGTTACACCAATAACCAAAATCGATTTTTTGGAAAACCAATTTTGCGTAAAAATTCCTGTTTTTCCTTAATTTTTATGTTGTTTTTCCCGGCGCTTGTGAAAACTACTGGGAAATTTATACTTTTGACCCCCCAAAGTACCAACTAGATTCACTTTCCTACCAGAAAAGCTACTGATGAAGAAAATCCAAGCATTTTTACTGTCCTAAAACGTGATGACAGACACAAAAATATAAATAAAAAGGTGGGCAAGTGGGTGTCGCTCTGCTGTACAGTAGGTTACAAGTGGGTCATTGTATAATGGATGGTATTAAATTTGAATTCAATGATATAATATCATTGTATAAGAAAAACGATTCTGAGCGGAGACGGTATGTCCTAGGTATAAGACATATTATATACATATCTATGGTATTAAAAAAAATTGACCTATAATGAATTCCAAATTAATCATATCACAATATCCATTAGGTACTTATAACGCATTATACACCAACAACAAACCCTGATACTATCATAGATATATATAGTAGATTACTTTAGAAATTTCAAGTACCCACGAATAATATTATACAATCACAACAAAATAACTAAAATCGTAATTCTTGGTTTAAATATGAAATTTTGTCTAAATTTGAAATTAAAATGTCTGTAAAAAATAAGTGTGTCTATATATTTTTTAGATTTTTTGGTTACAGTATGAATTATTTAAGAGAATCTTTGTTTTAAATTTTCAACTCTTAGTTATAAAAACTGAACATTTTATAATTTTTTAATTCCAACGATTGATAATTTTCGAGATTTTGATAAATTTTGTCAAAATTCCAACTTTAAATGCTTATAAAAAAAAATCGTGCCTATGTATTTTTAAAATTTTTCAACTGATATTGTAACAATATATAAGAAAGCTTGTATTAAATTTTCAAACTTTTTGGCCCACCAAATAAAATTTAATTGACAATTATAAAAAAAAAAACTAAAAAAATTGAAAACTGAAAATGTCCGTAAACAGCTCAAAACGAGTCAAAATATTTTCAAAATTGTATGGTGTATAGGAAATACTAATATAAACATTCAGTGAAATTTTCATGTATCTACAGTTATTCGTTTTTGAATTACAACAAAATAAGGAAATCGCTACATGAGAAATCGAGTGAAAATCCAATGTTGTAAAAATTTGAATTTCAAACGCTCATAAAAATTTAATTTGACTGTCCGGTAGAGATTTTTTTATTGATAAAGGTAGATAATCTTATAAGGAATCTTGTGTTTCATTTTCAAATCTTAGATTTAAAAAGAAAAATTTTTACGAATTCTTAACTCAAAATAATTTGCTAATTTTCGTGATTTTTCCATATTTTGTCAATTTTTGAACTTTAAATGCTTATAAAAAAAAATTGTGACTAAGGATTTTTAATATTTTTCATCTGCCTTTGAAACAACATATTAGGAGCCTTCTATTAAATTTTCAAGCTTTCGCAACCAACAAATAAAATTTTATTGATATTTTTAGAAAAAAAACTAAAAAAAAAATGGAAAATGAAAATGTCCCTAAACAGTTCACAATAAATCAAAATATTTTGAAAATGTTATCGTGTATAGAAAATGCAAATATAAACAACCAGTGAAAATTTCATGTATATACGTTCATTTGTTTCAGAGTTACACCAAAAACCAAAATCGATTTTTTGGAAAACCAATTTTGCGTAAAAATTCCCGTTTTTCCTTAATTTTTATGTTGTTTTTCCCGGCGCTAGTGAAAACTACTGGGAAATTTATACTTTTGACCCCCCAAAGTACCAACTAGATTCACTTTCCTACCAGAAAAGCTACTGATGAAGAAAATCCAAGCACTTTTACTGTCCTAAAACGTGATGACAGACACAAAAATATAAAAATATAAATAAAAATATAAATAAAAATATAAAAACATACATCATTGTAAAACCAATACATTCATCGCTCCGCTCAGAATCTAAAATATAAAAAAAAACATACATCATTGTAAAACCAATACATTCATCGCTCCGCTCAGAATCTAAAAATGTGACGTAATATTATATTTGAGTAGTATTTAATGTGAGTATTATAAATGGTGATATTCGTTTTTATAATATATAATATTTTTTAAAAGTGAGTAATAATTAATAAGCTATGTGTATACTAAAGTGACCAATATTATAATGTTCAAACAGAGATTAAAACAAGATTGTATCTATTGAAATTTCACGTTTAAATTTTTACAACATTGGGTAATTACCCAAAAATAACAATTTTCGTTATTATGTTATAATTCAAACACTATTATTTGTCGGGACTTGAAACTTTTCACCATAACGTAAGTACCTGTGTTATTATTTTCTATACATGATGAAATGTTCAAATTATTATCATTGATTTTTAGCTATTGTCTAAATAAACATCACAAACCAATTCACCCCGTTCTACGGTACGTAAGTATTGACTTAAAATAACAGTTTGGTAGTAATATTATACTATGATGACTTATACTATTTGTTTTTGGAAAAAATAAGTAGTCCAACCTACTTAATATTACTTACCTACAGAAAAATAAAATACTAATAGCAATATAAAATAAATATTATGTAAAATATTAAAATATCCTTAGAATCGGCTGGCAGACGTTCGTTTCGGCTCAGAATCTTTTTTCGTGTACAATGATTTATCATAGAATTCAAACGTAACATATCCATTACGGTGACTTATCAATGATAACGAAATAAAGCGAAACCTACTATACAGTACGACTGCTTTTTAGGTTATTTTTCTATGTATCGGTCCAGGTATTAATCTAAGCTCCATTATAATATTGTAGTGCATCCCAATAACATGCCAAAAAAATGAACATACCTATTGAAATGGCCAAATTGCATACCATCTCTTAGAAGGGTCTGTCCGAATTATTTTAGACATAATGGTCTGTATAATTTTCCTCTAAAATAATTACTTTACTAAAATTTAATTTATTTTTCCACTGAAGGAACGGGCTTTTGTTACATTACAATAAAATATATAAACATTGAAAAATATGACACTGTTAATATTAAATAAAAAGATTTTAGTTTAGGCGAATTAGGTGAATGTATTTGACACTGTATTTAAAATGTATAATATTTAATAATATTATACAATTTGTTGTAGTTTTTTGTTGACATTTTGGGCATAGTGTATCACAATTTCAATATAAGTGCAATATATTATATATACCTATATAAAATGTAAAGATGAAAATATCATTATGTAGTTCATAATATTATATATATTTTTAAATTTTTATTATTTAATTAAGGCGTTCCTAGCTAAGCCCACTACTGATATGTACATTATTTTCCTTTTCTTTTTTTTACATAATTGCGATATAATAATTAAATATTAACATAATAGGTTTAAATATTATAATATTAAAACATGCCAATATGGCAAACATAAAATAATAATAAGACTAATACCCGGCACATAATCTTTTTTGAATAGTAAAATAGTAAAATCATTTTTGAAAAAAGGTCAATATTAAAGGGGGAAGAGTTTAAAATTATTTAAACCTTAAGCATTAGGGAACTAATTCCACGGTTACAATATACTAATAATAGTAATAAAAATAACAATCAAATAAGTATACATCATAAATGTACCTACGTGTAAATGCATAGTAATATTATTATAATATAATCTATATTGCCGTACATATTGCTTTATTATTAGGTACCAATAGTTTTATTTATTTTGCTGCCTGCAACGCCATAATGCCATATGTGTTAACTTTTGTACATGCTTACATAATTCTATTAATTTAACTACAATAGGTACGGTTATATTTTTTACTTAGATCTAAACATTTTTCGATCTAGAAACTAATCAGTTGTAACAAACATATCATACACTTTCGTTATTTAAAAAAACTAGAAAATTCAAACAAAGGCATATCGTGTTCATATAAGTCCATAAAAAAACTTGTGGATATGGATTCGTTAGCAGAAAGAAAAAAACTAAAAAATACATAAGCACAGTTTATTTTTATAGTCATTTTAAGTTCAACTTTGGACGATATTACATAAAAAAAACCTAGAATAACTATTTTAGTTATTTTGTTGTGATTGTATAATATCATTCGTGTGTACTTGAAACTTCTAAAGTACACTATTATATATCTATGGACTATGATAGTTTCAGGGTTTGTGGTTGATGTATAACGCATTATAAGTATCTAATGGATATTGTGATATGATTAATTTGTAATTTATTATAGGTACCTATTATAGGTCAATTTTTTTTAATACCATAGATAAGTATATAATATGTCTTATACCTAGACTGACATACCGTCTCCGCTCAGAATCTTCTTTCTTAAACAATGATATTATAATATCATTGTATTCAAATTTAATACCATCCATTATACAGTGACCCACTTATAACCTACTGTACAGCAGAGCACCTTTTTTTATATTTATATATAATGCAATTTTAACGATATAATTTTGAGCGAAACGAGATGTGTAGCCCTTTAGGGTGTAGACTCATTGTTGTAAAATGATTTGCCACTCCACTGTTTATATTTATTATATTACATATTATATACATTATGTTCACTGTACCCACTTGTTTCAGGTGTTCCGATGAGGTGGATGTTTCAACAGCCTAGGGCCGGTTTTTCGTTATTCATAATTATAACGTTCGTGTCATGCTTCACCACCGTGTTTATCTACATTTCAGGTGAATTATTCAATCGTTTTATTAAATGTGATAAAATTATTCTATATCGGTACACGGGCTTTGGGCATGGGGCAAATCGATAATTTTTATTAAAACAGTCATATTATATGCATTTTGATATTTTGTGTGAACTGTTGATTTTGCATGACGTATAATAATATAATGATGATTATTGACTGTAGTTTATATTGCGATTTATGTGATGGATATATTAAACAATATCATACTTATTTCAATAGCTTAACGCAATTTAATTGAGTACTTACATACCAATTATTTAATGCTTAATTGTACTACTATTACAAAGTATATACTCATAACTAGAGTTCGGATTTTGTAGCTCTATAAAACTAGCACTTAAAATGAAGCAAAAAATCACTAAAGACCCTATGAAGTATCTAATTAATATTTGAGTTGCATCGAACAATTAATATTTTTATAATATTTTCAAATAATAAATATCACCAACGGCGGCGATATGATAAAATATTTTTATAAATTATGATCCTTTTAATTGTGCATATAATTGCTTATCCTAGTTATGTCGATTTTATTAAACAATTCTTGGAACACATTATTTGATATAAAAGTAAATATTAATCTTTCAAATATTTTGCTTTAGAACACATAGTTATTAAACACAAAACGAAAACCTTAAGTAAAAAAGCAATTACCTACCCCAAGACCGATAAAAGTATTAAAAAAATATAGCTAAAAATCCAAAAAAAGCAATATACAATTTCATAAATACAATTTATAGCTGACATAGCTTCGTTTTAGACCAAATAAGTGAATCTTAAAATGTTCGTAGAATACATTCAAGTTGATCAGAGTCAGAAACAGTGTAAGGATTATAGATCCGTATTCTAAAATAGGATGAACTAAAGTGATTTCTCTAATCTGAAGTCTTTAGATAGACGTATCATGAACCCTATGACATTAAATGGTTTTCTAGAAATCATCGCAATGTAAAGACTTGTACTAAGAATTCTAGATAATTTTAACCAAGATCAATTAGATCATCAACAATGAGTACAATTTTCATACCTGAGATATAATAATTATAAAGACATGAAGTGTTAGAGTACGAGAACTAATCAACATCATGACATGAATACTTGACTTTTAGAAGCATTGACTTTAAAAATAAGACCTATTTAAATGAAAAAATCATATTGCATACGAATCTGCAATGAAGTACCACATTGTATGTCTTTGTTGTCCTTGCTATCATATTATATCTATCATCTAACTATCGTGTGATAAGCGCGTATATCGATTTCGAATCTCGGATTAGAAAAATGATATTTTGTAGTTTTTTTCGTAACGTAACGTTTTTTTGATTTCGATTCTATGTGCCAAAGCAAAGACATAAAATGTCAAAACACCAATTACCAAAGCAATCAAAGCTATTTTGAAGATTTACCCAATCATCAGTTGAGTTTATTTCCATAAAAAGCTTCATGTCATCTGTGAAACATAGTTATTTATAAAATAGCAAAGCACTTCATACACTACTGACAAATAATGAAATTACAATCGGTGATAAATGTCTAGTAGTAAAATGTGTGGTTCTTCAGTAAGAATATTACCCACTGATGGTTTAATATTGTTTAAAACCAAAGATTAAAACAGTTCAGATAAGTGAGATTGAATGGAGATAAGTCTATAATTAGTAATATTGGATTTATTACCAGATTTATGGATGGGTGAAACTAAACAGAATTTAAAAACTGAAGGAAAATTAAAATCATCTAGTGACCGCCTGAAAAGCAAAAAAAGTGGATAAGCTATAATAGAGCGAAACCGATAAAGAAAAACGTCGGAAAGACCATCAGGACCTATAGTTTTAATACCACATAAAGTAGAAATATCTTAAAAAACGTTATCAACGGTTAAGTATACATTATAGGTATAGGTCAAAAAATGTAATCTCTAAATTACTATCATCATCATTAATGACTTCACATAAATAGACAGACCACAGACTTAAAGTATGAAGCGAACATGTCAGCTGCATTCTGTTCGTTAGAATAGTAAGCACCAGTCAACGTTAATGTTTTCGGAACATCAGAATTGAAGCGTTTTTTCTTTATAAATTTTCAAAAATAAGTGGGATTAGTATTAATTGACAGCTCAGTTCGATCAACATATACACAATAGCATTTTTTGGACTCGTGCTTATAAAGTACCCCAAGAAGTGAAAAAGATCTGTAATCGTCAGTGTTAAAGTGGATTTAAATTTTGCATGTGTCTTTTTTAAAAAAAAATAAAATTTCTTTTAATTTTTCTGTGAACCAAATAGGATAGGTTGATTGTCTAAAGTAGTGCATTGGTACAAAACGTAAGACAGCCCTGTGAAAAGGATCATACAAGGTATTAAAAGCTGAATCCAGACTAAGAGCTGATAAAGTAGATGGCCAGTCGAAATTGGAAATAAAAGAATGAATGTTAGAATAGTCAACTTTGTTACAGTCGAAGAAGATGTGTGATCTAATGAAACAGGGAACTTGCATATTATTGGGAAAATTTATAAATAGAGGAAGTTGGTAGGGTTCAGATGGCACTAACGAATCTAAGGATACTTCGATTGTAAGTGTTTTGACTTTTGACATTGCTAAAGACTAAATCTAATAATTAGTTATGTTTATTGAAGTTGTTATTGTTCTGAAAAAACCAATTTGAGACAAAAGACTCAGGGATACATGGAGCACGATAATGGGAGGATGAGAAGGTTAAACCAAAGTTATGTTTATCCCATAAAACTTCAGTGGTAATCGGCACAAAATATGTATGTGTAATTATAAAAATGTGGTCAAACGCAGCGGCATTACATCTAAAATTTGTCAATTTGGATCTGAAACCTCGGACATTTTGATAAAATCCAACTGCTTTGGTTAGCGAGGACGAGTAGAGGATGTATCTTTAGTGTTTTGATTTGGAAATCTGTACCTATTTGAGACGCACCATTGACATATTTAGGTACGTATTCTTGTAGTGAAAAGTTTAAGCTATAAAAAAAAAATTGTAATTCATCCCTGCAAAAGTCCATGTCATGCCGGGGATAACGACCACGAATATAATTTGAATATTTACATAATATTTTATTGTATTTATCAATAGTTTATGATTTTTGAATTGTTATTCGAATGCGTTATTAGCATAATTATTTCAATTGTACAGATACTAGATATTCATTCGATCACAGTTTGGTGACAACGTATACGATGGCGGACATGGAAATGCTCGTGGAACACTTAACCAAATTGAATGCACTGAATGACAAAAACATCAAGGAACGAATTAAGCATTTCGGCCCAGTTCTCGATACGATCGTGAAGTCGTTGAACATTTCCGTTCCCAAAGAATTAGAATCCTCAATGGTTACTAATAAGTCTGTGGAAATGGTCAGGTCACCGATGATACATCTCAATGGGTTTACATTCTTACCACCACTGTGGTCCCACGAAGATAATTTGAGGCCATTTATATTACATTCTGGAGGTAGAAAAACAGGTAATTTATTTGTTCAATTACACATAGTGGATGATTGTGAATGATGTACAGGCAAATAGATGATACCAATAATCCAAATAGAAATAAAAACTATTTTATAGGTTTAAAATGGGTTTTAATATTTTAGTGTCTATGGTGTATGGAATTCCTACTGTTCGTCGCCAAAAAAGAAATTACATAATACAAACATTAACTAATATCGTATACAACATGAATCAAAATGAAAAGGAAGATTCATTAATAGTCGTGATGATTGGTGAAGTAATATAAACTTGTGATTATTCAGTTTAAAATAATAAGTTACCGATAGATTAATATTTGTGTCGGATATTGTTAGATCGATCGAGAATACACGCAGCAATTGACTACGGAAATCAAAAATCAGTGATTATTTCTGTTACATACGATATCGATTACAAATTAAGCATTTTTTGTTGAATATTTTTCTTCAGGCTACCAGAAGCAATTAACTCGGGTCTTGTGGACATAATTGCTCCAACTCCGGAATATTATCCAGATTTCAGCAAACTTCGCTTGACGCTCGGTGATCCTAAAGACCGGGTCAACTGGAGGAGCAAACAAAATTTGGATTATGCTTTCTTAATGATGTACTGTCAACCAAAAGGGTCGTTTTATGTTCAAATCGAAGACGATATAATCACGAAACCACAGTTCCACACTATTATGAAAAATACAGCTTTGCAGAGAATAGCTAATGGACAAGAGTGGTTTTTATTAGATTTTGGAGAACTTGGTTTTATCGGTAAAACCTATTTCAGTAACAAAATACTTAGTCATTATAGTGGTACAATGTAAATTTTTATTTAGGCAAAATGTTTAGATGTTCGGATTTATCGTGGCTAATTCAGTATTTTATTATGTTTTATAACGATCAACCTGTGGATTGGTTGCTGGACGGAATAGTGGAAACAAAATCTTGTGGTTATTATAAAGTGAGTAAATTATTTATAGTAGGCATTAATGGATTATAATTTATAAGAAATTTATATTAATTATATGCTAATCATGATTTCTTCAAGGAGAGGGTTACGCTAAAAAAATTTACCAAATAAATATATCCAAAAAAACACAAAATAAAACCAATAATATTGTTCATTATCTAGATGCGAAAAAACTAAAAAGAAATAGTAATTAGGATTGGACACTTCCTCTTCTTTTGCACAAGCCTGATATTAACTGTATAATCTGACTTAATTTAAAAAAAAAATGAACAAACATAAAGTACAGCGCCATATTGGTGTATCTCATTTTTAGTAAAATTCAGTACATGAACTGAGTTCAACCAGTCCATGCATGAACAAATTGTTATCGGTTTACGTGAATTAATTCTAAATAGATGGGCCAACCACCTGTGGTGGATTGGGTATAGAGATATAGTAAATGGTTTAATTTTTTATTTGGTTCAAACTACTTTCTAAACTTTCCCGATATTTCTAAAAACCTGAAATGTTTGTCATGATTGGTAAACTGTTGAGTCTATATAAGCTAAAAATATATGAACATCGCATTTTGATAAACATTTGAATAATAAACAATATAATTTATAAATATATAATAATAATATTTTCTTTTATTTAAAAGAAAAACCCATAGCAACACATGTGTCGGGTAAGACTTTATACTAATTAAAAACATTTTTTCCTGTAAAAAATAGTAACTGCAACCCGTTATATTATATTATATAAGATATTAGATTTTCCATAATCCAAAACGAAATTTATGTGAGGGCCACTCTAAAAAAACCTACTGTTGCTCAAAAATGAATCTATGAATACTTCCCGATCCTCATAAAGAATATGTTTTGACAATTTGAAGCCAATTGTGGTTTAGCAGTTTTCAAGTCTGTAAGTCCCATCCAAACACACATTAGTTTTAAATATACTATATAAAAAACATAAAAAAAAAATTTTAAAAATGGTCAAATAATATAACTGATATGGTAAGTATTAAATTCCATTTGGAAATAATTGTTCAACCGTACCTAGGTATTTGGTTAGTTATAGTTGCCACCCCCTAGACAGCATAAACTACCTAAAAAATAATAATTTCTTGTTGGACTTGTAAGTTGTGTTATCAGATTAAGCGGTCAGTGGTCACACTAACTGACTGATGTTTCGCCATGTTGTTGATAATACAGTACAGGCTTAAGTGGGTAAATAGTTAAAAGTAAAATTTTTGGACCAAAAGGATATTGGTTCCCCCCCAGAAGACGAGTCAAATCCGCTACTGTTGTAATGGTGTTCAAAACTTAAACATTTTCGTCGACCTTTTAACTTTAAATTCATATAAAAATAATGATGCATAATTGACTATTTTGATTATAGATAAATTGTCAACGAGTAAAAGACAATTTATGGGTGAAGTGCAATCAAACTGTTTTTCAACATATTGGAATCTGGTCATCTTTGCCTGGCAAAATTCAACGTTTGAAGGTAAAGTTATAATTTTTACCTATAGGAATATACCACAATTTCAATATATTGGTAACAAATTTATATGTTTTGTCTCACAGGCTAAACATTTTAAAGGATATACATTATATAAAAATAATAATTAGTGTTACACAAATATAATTAGAAGAAAATGATGAAAATACAGGTTACCTGTATCGAAAATCAAGAGGACTCATACAAAGGTGATAAAATAAAAATAAAAATTAACCATCTGTGATTGCTAGAGTGAAATAATTTATTAATAACATGTAAGAACATTGATTATTTTTTATTAAAGTTCAAATTTATAAACTTTGTCAATATAATTATATAAGTATAAAGTTGATATGAAAATAATATAGTTACCAGTTGTTTAAATATCGTTAAAAATAATTTTTTTAGAGAAATGTTTGTTATTTATGCAAGATATACATTTGCAATTTGCATACTTATTGGCTATTGCATGCATTTTTAATCAATTTACTCTAATTATTTTTATTTAAATACCTACACTATATAGCTGGTATATTACGTATATAGTAATAATTGAACATCTATATAACATTTCAAAATGTTATTGTTATTTAAATAATTTAAATATGTGTCCAAATAGTTTAGGTAGGTATTTAATTATTTTTTAAATTGTAAACTCAAGTTAATTAAAAAAAATAATTAAAGCAACCTAAAGCATAACATGTATAATGTATATTGTATATATTATATTATTTCACGTTTATCTATTGAAATTCTACACATACAGTAAAAACAAAAGTGTATCATATTATATTTGGTTAAGTACCTACTAATTGAAATACTTAAAATGCATGATATAATTAATTTGTAGATAAATTTAACAATGTATCATTATTATCTTTAAGTGTAATATTATATTATAACTAGCTGATCCCATTCACTTCGTTGCCCGTTAAATGTATCAACTCTATATGACTCAAACTTTGTTCAGTTCGTTATTTAATATTCGGTGTAAGGTAAAATTTATCTTAACTTTTCCGTTGCCCGGAATAAAAATTCTGAACCTGCGTTAGATCGCGGACCCCGTGCTGTTTGTACGTAAGTGTATGATTTAACTCTAAAGTATCAAAGTTAAACCAAGCTTGTCGTTTTTACTTAATTCCACCTACGGTTGATTAAAATAATCAATTTATTTAATACCATTAAATATAATTTATATTTAAAAAGTAAAGCAAATATATTTATTTTTTTTACTATTATTATTATTATTATAACTTAAAAACCCATGGTAACCATTTATAAAAAAAAAATTTCCATCTCAAATCTCAAAAGTTGGACCAAAATAGACACAGTGTAAAAATTTCATCAAGATCGGTCCAGTAGTTTTTACGTGGATGAGTAACAAAGTCACACACTTTCGTGTTTATAATATTATATTATAATACATTTACATTTAGCTATAGTATAGTCTAATATAATAAATTAGTAAAATATTATGAAAATTATAACAATGATAAGTACACAGGTAATTACACTATAATATAATATATATATTTTAAATTTTTTTTGATTAAATTCCTGAAACATGTAAATAAAAACTAATTGACAGTAATATTATTGATGTTTGTATTTTATATAATTATTTGAGTCTGTTGTACAATATACACGCGTATATATAAGCGTACCTACCTAAGTATTCATAATTTAATTGTACCTACTAAATATACATTATTATTTTTTTAAATGTTGTTGACTTCGTAATAAGTATAAATAAACACCAAACAAAACATAATGTTTTCAGAAATATATTTAAGTAGGTACCTTTCTCGCATGACATACATTTAAAAAAATATATAAAATAAAATATGTTATTAAATTATAGAGTTGTGTGCGCACAATTTATTTTTGATTAGTTCTAAGTTTTAACTTCGATATCTAAAAGTAAAAATATCTACAAATATTTCGTCGTTTGTGATCGAGTTACACTCAAAAATGGTAAAGCACTTTCAAGAATTATTTGACCACTAATCAAAATAATATGTTTACTTAACCCTTTGAGTGCTATAAATGCATGTATATACTTCTTTGCTTTTAAAAATTCAAAAGCCGCTGTAATCAATACTACATTGATTTTATGATGTCCGTGACAAAGTGGATCCACTTTGATGAGTGAATTAGATTTATTTAATCAGATTATAAAATACATAACGAATCCAAATACATACCGAAAACAAATTGGACAAATATCAAAGAAGGAATAAATTAATGAAGTTTACTGTTCTTCCAGTGATAACCAAAATAAAATTTGAAATAAATTTAAGAAATTCCGTAGTCTAAATTCGAAGTGAACAGTAACTTTAGAATTATGTACATTGGTATCTATAGATGTATGGTCACATATAAATTTTTTAACACAAACAGAGGTCGGTACATTTCCTAGTTTGTTTTAATTCACCTCTCGACCACCTACTGCCAATTAAAACTCAATTAATTTTTAATAGGCTATAGATGAAATCAGAAGAAATTTGTTCAATTTCCACCATACCGTATTGCAGAAGAGTGTTCAGCAGAGTGTTCTGCAGAGCAAGCTGCAGTGACGCATTTAGACATTTTGCGCCCCAGTTCAAAAAAAAAAAATTGGCACCGACTAAGCATGGTGAAATAAAATTGCTCTCCCCTGAGGGCCCACGGAAAATATGGGAGATAGATCTTCATTAACATTTTAGATTTTGAGCAAAGAAAACAATATTTGTTTTACAATGTGTGCTTTTTTTAAAAAACATTATTTAATAATTGCTTGATCTCTCCGCAAAGATACATTTGAATTTTTGTCACTTAAACCTTGCTTATAATCCATCATATAAGTTTTTTTTTTTTAACATATTTAAGTAGGTAATTCATGAATAAATAAAATAAAATTATATAAAACTATGCAAATTAATATTTGTTTTTTTTGTATACTATTAAAAAAATAATGTAACTATATTGTATAATATTTAAATTTTTCTTCTACTTTGTAGTGTTGTGAATTTTTTAATTACCTACATCGTCAAACTGAATGTTAGTTGCTTTATCAGATTCGATATTCATGATAGCTAAATTATTTAGCCTTTCTTCAAAGGTACTTAACCTCAGATATGTTTTAATATGTTTTGAACATGAGAAAGACCTTTCAGTCGAATAATTACTAACAGGTGTGCATAACAGCATTCTCAGAGATAAATCAATGTAAGAATACATACCTATCAAATCATTTTTTCTCAGAAAACTTCACATTTCCTAAATGGTTTTAGGAGCCTTATCACCGATACATAATAAGTGGCTCTTAAAATGAACACATTCATTAGCAAATAAAGTGCTAAGATCATGCATCTTTATATTCATTTTGAAGTATTTCAGCATTCTTACGAATTACAATTATTGATGTCAGCTCTGTCAATTTGAAAAAGAAATTGTAATATTAAGTAGATATTCATATTTTAAATTTATTTTTTATAGTTGTGACCGCAGTTGATCAAGTATAAAAAAATATGTATTGACTTTAAAATTAGATTATTCAACTGTTGTATCTTTAGATGGCCCTTATTAAAAAATTATTTTCTGATTTTTGACCGTTTAGTTTAAGATTGAAGCTGGCTTAATTGTACTTTTTTCAATTGCACATTGCTTAAAATACCTACTCATAATTCTTATTGACGCGTAAATCAATGATATATGTTATTAATCTATACTATAATATAAAGAGGAGTTGTTAGTTGACGTTGTTGAGTGTAATCTCTGGAACTAGGTACTGAACTGATTTCGAAAATTCGCCATCTTTCTCTTTTGTTTAACATAATCACAAATCAGTGGTAAATTATTCCAATAGTTATACCACTAAGTACTATCTATGATTAAAGTTAATCAGAGTTTAATCGGCTGAATTTACCCGTTTAAATATCAGTTATCAGCTGATTAAGCTTAATCATAGTTTAATCATAGACTGTACAACTGGCCCTAAGTTATGGTGAAATTTATTTATTAGATGATGATTGCGTATTTGATCCTGATGGTATTAAGAGTAATTCTCAATGTTTTCTTACATCTGGTCATATTTTTGACTCAAACTATCTTCGAGTAAATAAGTTTCACCGTAACTATTTAGTGTTATAATTATTGGTATAGTTGTCCACTGATTTGCGATTATGTTTAACAAAAGAGGAATATGGTGTTTGGCTCTTTTGCTCATAATTAAAACATACTGTAACAAGTAAAATTTGGTGCTTTTAACTCAGTACCAAGGACTGTATAAACAGCATAAGCTTCATCTAAATATTTTCTACCAATGCCAATATATATGTTATACCTACACCAGTAGTATCAGATGAAAACCCAAATTGTATCTGTCTTGTTGAATGTGATGAACGATGAAAAATTAATAAATTTGGTAAATTATCTATATCTATATCTATACTATTATTATTATACTAAAATTTTCACTGTTATACCTGGCAGTCTTCTGAAGGTTTTAGCGAAAGAACATTTTAGGAAAATCCTACAGAAAAGTAGGAAATATGGATGTTCAAAATACAAGTGGCTCCATCTGTCCAAATTAAAATAATAATGGTGTATTATATTATATTGGTTGCTATTGGTTAATCGGGCATGTTTGTTGATTTGTAATATTACTTTTCATCAATATAATATATATATATATATATATATATATAGGACATAGGTATATTGTATATATAAATGAATGTTTGTGTGCAGATCAGATCAAACCTCTGGGAAGAAGATAGATTAATTTAAAAAGGGTAATGTTTGTTTTTTTTTTATTCATCGTATTTTAGTACGGTTAGGTTAGGTTAGGATTTTGTATTAATTGATTATATTGATCCACCTGACTAGACGGCCTACCTGATAATATACTGCTGCTAAACACAATTTTTATTCTAGGCAACGGAAAAGTTAAGATAAGTTTTGAACACCATACAGTACTTTGATTTTAGATTATTCATAAAATTTTTCGTTCTATCGTAATAAAATTTTTCCATTAGTGACTTAAAATATTATAAAATGTTAAAATGTTTAAGTATTTTACGAAACGTAAGTACCTATATATTTTTAATAATAATAAAACTTATACCTAAAAAAATAAAAGTACAGAGATCTAAATAAGCTAGATTCCAATAAATACAATGCGGCATACACCGAATATAAATAACAAATTGAATAAAGTTTGAGTCATATAGAGTTGGTACATTTAACGGGCAACGATGTTCACAGGATCAGCTATTTTTAATAAAAATATATTTATCACTAATAACGCTAAAAACATTTCAATACGTTTTCATTAATTATTTTTTATATTTACTTGCCAATCACATTAAACGATAAATTTTGAATAAAAATTATACATAATATCATCATCCGGAGGCAAAATAAACAACCATTCACGGGTGAAGCTGTGACGGGTCCGGCTAGTTTAATATATTATTATCTAGGTACCTACTATATTATAAAATCGAAAACCTGGAAAGGATAACCCCTATCTATAGTTTTTGACCGGTTTTCATAAAATGTTCGTCAATAGATCCAGCATGTCCTTAGTGTCATAGGCTACTTTTTATTACTTAATTATCACTTTTCAACACTTAAATGTTGAATATAATTTATATACCTAACTGATTCACGGAAAACAGTCATTATTTTATTAATATATTGTTGCCATTGGTCACTGAAAATAATATTATAGTTATTATGATTGGATATAATTTTAGCCCGAACAACTGTATTAAATATATGTACAGTTTACATTCAGTGAAGTTTAAGAAGTTGTAAATCCGTGGGAATTTAATTTGTCAAGGGCAACGCCATGCAGGATCAGCTTGTATAATTATATTATTTAATTAAATATCTATCAACAATTAAAATTCAAAAGTTAATAATTTAAAAAAACATATTATATTGTTATACCAATATATTATTATTTCCTCTGTCTAGGGTGATAACAATTAGGGGGTGGAAAATTCTGTAGTGCTTTATTAAAATATATCTTACTTATAAAATAGTATTGAAATGAGATGTCTTTATATTTACGAAAAATAATTGTATAATAATTATTAATTAATATTGTATAATATATTTTTGTAAGTATAATATAATTTGAATGTGGCCACAAATGACTTATCAAACTCGAAAGCCATTGCCTAACAAGTTTAAAAACTTTAAATAACTTTGAAAGAAATTAGTAGGTATAATGGACTGCATTCAAACCCTGTGACCCAGTCACTATCACAATATTATAGTGTACGCAAACGGTGCGGTTGACATCGACAACAACATACACGCACATTTCTGCATATTGTACACTTCTTGGAATAGGTATCATAGACCTTACTACCTTAGTACTTGAATATAATTAAAAAGTCATCGATACATTAACCATAAATTATTCATAACCAATTTTCATACATTTTTTAAAAGGCAACAGTTAATAAGTTTATTATGTGTTAGATTATTTCACTAGTCCACCTCAGTCCTCTACAGCAGTCACACACATGCAGTTGAGTAAACATAAAATAGCAGTAAATCCTGTAAGATGTACCTTGTTAATAAACAATTTTAAAGTAAAATTTAATTTAATTTTTGTGAATCATATTTAAATAATAAATACACAACTGTATGAGAATTTAAAAGAAATTGTATTGGGTAAGTATTACTATTTACTTTGATTAAATTGTAGAATCTAGGTGTGGTATTTCGACCTATGCAATTTCAAATACATGAACTATTCAGTGGTTAAAAATTCAAGTCAATTTCGCAGAATTGTGTGTATTTACTTATTTTACCTATCTATATACTATTTTCACATAATATCATAAATACCGTATAAACTCAATTTTCGGAAAAGGTTTGTTGACATTGACTAAATGTATATAGGTACTATAATAATATGTAGTTTAGCAGTTACAAGGAGTATTCAATTTAGTATATGCAGTGTGGGTATACTTTTTTACAGGTGCTGAAAAGATATCTTGCATAAACTTTGATAATTATGAAAATTCAAGGCAATAGCAATAGAATTTTCAACCTGGTGTTGGCCAAAATGTTGGGTTTCTATCAAATTTTGGACACCGAATCAGCAACATTTCTAGGCCGTCATAATGTTAACTACAAATTTTTCGTATTTCTCATAGCTTACGAATGTCTCATTTCGGTAATTGTGTTCTTAAACGGTTTGTATTATTGCATAAACAACCTTACCGAAGGCATGTTCTATTTTGTATTCGTGGGAAACGCGATGTACGCAAAATACAAGATGTACCTCATTCTCTACCACTCAAAAGTTATATGGGATTGTTTTTCGGTCACGAAGTTCGACTTCACGTCTTACGGTGTCCAGGGCATACATACACTGAACAAGTGGCGAAATCTTTCAATTAAATACACGAACATATACATGATGTTTTTTTTAACAATGTTATTCTGTTTGGTGACGGCTCCGCTGGTATTTAGTAACACGTTTGTAACGATGAAAAATCACGATGGATCGACCAGTTCCTATCGCCTGAGCCTTCTCTATTTATATTTATTCGTCTCGGAAAAAACTTACAACACATATTTTTATTTATTTCACACCATCGAATCGTCTGGCATGGCCATTGGTGTGATATTTATACTTATTTTTGACACTATTGTGAACACGTTGGTCATTGCATTATCCGGTCAGTTGCAAATGATTTCCACTGCATTCGCATCGGTCGGACATAAATGCCTTCACTCCTCAAATAGTAAGTACCTACAGTATTGACTTGCATGTATTAGAGAAATTTGGAGTGGGTAAATGCCTATTAATTATTTCATCAGGGGTGGTCAAGAGAAGAAATATTTTTTCATCTCGGATTCATTTTTTAATTTTACCCCTATGGCCCATAATAATGCAATACTCAATATACATATGTAGATATTGATTAGTAAAGTTTAAAATGTTAAATGTTAATATTATTAAGCAAGATACATAAACAAAGAATAAAAAATTCTGGGGAATGGAACGGTGATATTCTGTCTTCGTCTAACACACGTGGAATATAGGAATTTAACCATATTGTTTTCATTAAAACGTATCAAATGACCTAGTTAGGCTATAAGATTTCTGGATATAGATTAAAAATGTTCGTCATGGGCCATGTCTACTAGATATCGATTTCCCTACTTTTAAATGTTTTTACTGTATTGTTTTTTGTAGTTAATATTGATAAAAAGATGAAGTTACCTAATGAAAATATAAAATATATGGCTCTTAAAAATGAATTAAGAACACTTATAATAGACCATCAGAGCATTCTGAAGTAAGTACCCATTATTTTGTTTTCTAAAAAAAAAAATGTACCTATTCATTTTAATCTAAAATATTAATATTCAATATAAGTTTTGAATATTTAATGATATAAATAATATAAACATATTATAGGTACAAGAAAAAATTATATTATCAAAAAAAAATTAATTTTTTATATCAAGCAATTATGATGTCTTGTTGTATAATATGAGTTTTTTATAATAATTTGTCTCTTTTTACATAGGAAATATGATGAATTTTTATCAATATTTCGACCAATAATGTTGCTGCAAGTATTTGTTTTGTCGTATACGATCATTTTTCTATGGTTCATTTTTATAGCGGTATATACAAACATAATGGAACACTAACATTTATTTAGATAAATATAATTATGTTTTTTCAAATATTTTATGGTATATACCTAGATAGCTTGGTAGTTTTCACATGCTATTTATATATTTAAATATGTATATATATATATGTCACGATAAGTGATTTCATAAATTGAATGTACTTAATGTTTTCAGAGTTTGATGGAAGAAGATATTACGCAATATATGGTATTGACATTGGTGAAAGCTAGTTTTGGAATTCCTTTTTGTACTTTTCAAATGTATATGACATGTTTTGTATTTAATACATTAGAAATCAAAGTAATTTCAAATTTATTTACCTTATTAAAGCATTTATTGCATAAGTAGGTACATAAATTACAGAGGAGTTATACAATAAAATACAATGTTCATTTTAAATAGTTCCTAGGTATAGATATTATTTAATTTCCAAGAAATATAAAACAAAATTTAAAAGTAGGTAGTATAAAAAATGTGTATGTAGTAGGTATTTTTATTTTAATTATATGGAGCAGCAAAAAAGCTTCAATCATCAACTTATTAATCAACCTATTTTACTAACCTATTTAGTATTTAGTTATAAAAAGTGTATCTAGTTGGTACCTTCAGTAAAAGATTACCATTATAAAATTTTTTCTTATGAGAGTTTAATTTTTAAAATATTTTGACTCTTTTTGAGTTAATTCTAGACATTTGAAATTTTTTTCCTGTAAATAACGATATAAAAAATGTATTACAATTTATATGGTAGTAAATTCTCAGTATTTATGTATAATGTAAACATTAAAAAACTTGAAATTTTAATACAAGGTTCCTCGAAAACTGTTATTAGCGGACATTAAAAAAAAAGTTTAACGTACATCCACAATAATTTATTATTAGCGTCTAAAGTTAGAATTGTGACAAAATATTTTGATCTAGAAATTTACAAAAATTGGTCCATGTATGTAACATTTAAAAATTCAATACAAGATTCCCCATAAGTTTTATTACATTTAGTAAAAATAAAAAAATTGCCTGATTTAAAAATAAGAAATACAATAGCTAGCATTTAACCACGCCCCTGTATAATGTGTTATCCACATAATCACCTTTTTTTATATATATTTAGGTTGCATTAAAAAGTTTGTAAATTAATTAATTAGTTAATTTCTTATTATATGTTTTGTTTTTTTTAGAAAGATTCTATAACATTTGGGTTGTATAGCTCTAATTGGACAGAAATGGATCTTAAATTAAAAAAATTGATTTTGTTAACAATGAGAATGGCTAATGCCCAACAGGATAAATTACAATTTACAAGGACAAGAATTATTAACATGGAATTATTTTATCAAGTATGTTTCATATCATTACCTTCATAATTATAAAAATATAATAATCATAATCAAACGATTATATATTGAGGTTTTAAGTTGGTATTTGAAATATTGTTGTCCCTAGTATTTTAAATTTACAATGTTCAGATTTCTGATATTTCTAAACATTAAATTTAAATTATAGATTGATTAATTGAAAAATTCTAGATCTTTTTTTACTTTGGTCATAATATTATATAGTAAAAATTAATACCTCAATAAGTAAAATAAAAAACAATTTTTTTAAGTTATCTCCAAAGATATTGTTAAATTAATATTTAATAAACAATTATGCGGTAAGTACATTTACTAAGAAGAAAAATAGTCAATATATTATGAAGTTAAATTACTGCATTATTTCCAAGGCATCAAATCCCACAATATATTTATGCATATTTTGGTATCCCCATAACTATTTGTATAAACTCATCGAATATTATAGTTTTAAGTTATTATTTTTATAATTAACATACGCATCACTTAGCAAATTTTAATTTTGGAATAACCCATTTTATTAATTTCAAATTTTTCTCGACTTAAGTGGACTCCCTGTAAAATTAACTCCATTATGAGTTTCATGTCCATTTCTTGTTTTGATTTCCGAATAGGGGTCGGTCTGAACTCTGAAAAAAACCCGTGATTAGTCTATTTGTTGGATTATTAAGTGTGACGTTCCGGTCACAAATTAAAATTATTAAAAAATTAAAAAACGTTACAAAGTAATAATAATAATTTGGATTTTTTAGTTAGGTATACTGTTCTACTTCAGAGCAAAGCAGAATTACATTATTATATGTTTATACGATTTTTTTTACACAATAAATAATACCAGAATATTATTGGGTGTCGATTTAATACAAATGATATTTTTTATTTTATTACAGACTATGCGTGTTTGTTACACAGTTGTAAATGTGATGCTAAATTGTAAAAATAAAAAATTGGTATGAACATAATATTATAATATTCGGTAACAATTAATATTATTATTCTCAAATCATCAACTCCGAGGGAGGCTTCTAAGGCTCTAACAGCAAATTTTGTTTAAAATTGTACTTTGGAAGTAGATCATTAAATAAAATATGAACATCAGTTGAAATTATTGAAATAATTGTTTAATAACCCTGGTTAGGTTGGACCAAAAAGTTGTGCTGGCTCCGCTCAGAATCGGTTCTATCAAATACTTTCAAATATTTACCATTGAATTCAAATTTAATATATCCATTACAGGGACCTATTCATTGACGGGGTACACTCGACAGTCGACCCTTACTGTACGATATAATATCTTGTTTTGGATTCTGAGTGATATGATTAATGTATTGATTTTACAATGTGTGTGTTTTTTTTTATTTTTTTTTGTGCCTGTCATCACCTTTTAGGACAGTAAAAATGTATTTTAATTTTCTTCAACAGTATCTTTTCTGATAGGAAAGTGAATCTAGTTGGTACTTTGGGGGTCCAGTAGTTTTCAAACGCAATACTCAATAAAGTTTTATCTGTTTTGCCAAAAAGTGTAAAAACTTAATACAAGGTTCCTGATATATTGTTACAATATCAGTTAAAAAATATTAAAAATACATAAGCACAATTTTTTTTATAAGCATTTAAAGATCGATTTTTGACAAAATTTATCAAATTTAAAGTTGAATAATTATTTTGTAGTTAAAAATTTATAAAATGTTCAACTTTTATATCTAAGGATTAAAAATTTAAAACAATATTATACGTTAGTAGTTAATTCTGCTACCAAAAAATCTAAAAAATACACAAACAACGTTTATTTTTATAGTCATTTTAAGTTCAAATTTGGACGAAATTACAAATTATTTTGTTGTGAATAATATTACTCGTGGGTAAATACTTGAAACTTCTAAAGTACACTATTATATTATATCTATGATAGTATCAGGGTTTGATGTTGATGTACAACGCATTATAAGTACCTAATGGATATTTTGATGTGATTAATTTGGAATTTATTAATTATTATAAGTACAATTTTATTTAATAATATTATATATTAGTTTAGTAGAAATATATTTTATTTCATGCTATTTATTTTTGTCTTAAAAAAAAATCTAAGAATTCATTATATTATATTCTGTGTCTGGGACATTTTCTACCCGCATTTTTTTGGAGTTATTGATAACTTTTAAATTGAATGGCCAATAGCAAATACATAGTATAATAATAATTGTTATTATTACTAATAATGATTAATGATGCCCAGATAATTCCACCGTAGAAGTAGGTATAGAGACATAGAGTATAGACTTATTTTGTATTCACTCTGTACTTTGTCTACTCTGTAGTCTGTACTACTGTGGTTCTTTTATGAGTGTTAAAGTATATACTGTTGTTAAAACATCCGTTTTATTTATATTAGGTACATAATATTAGCGTTTACTCTGAGTATAGGTTCATTTTCTCTTCTGGCGAGCACCACGACGTGCACGCCGCTTTCCGCCACTGGACTATTATGGCCTCCCCGATTCCAGCACTGGCGCCAGTAGGGTATTAATAGGTACTCCTTTCAAATCATGTGCGTTGTTAGGTACGTTATAGGTACTCTATTTTACCTACCAATATTGTTGTGCAGTGTACCAACTCATCATGACAACGACGACCGCCGATGAAAAGTTTCTGGGTTTGGTACCTACAACCTATAGTCATGACATTTTCACTGTCAGTAAGATATAAATATGCACGCAGTACGTTAGGTAAACGTATTTAACTATAACATTATGTTTTTTTAGTGAACACTGATTAATAGGCATATTATTACATTTAAAACGACTGCGGTATGATTGTATAGCTAATATAAACAATGTGGTCACTGCAGAACCAGCGGTTGAACAGTGGGACAAAAAAACTGATGGGGACTATAATATTGTGGCTTTTCACTGAAAAGTGAGAAGCGTATTCTGATTTCTGTTGTCCAAATTTCTACGTATTATCATTTACTCACCTTGAATAGCTGGTTGCGAAAACCATCGTCTCCCTTCGCGGAACGACGATTATATATCATTCTGTTATCTTGAAAATCTTTAAGTCCCTACTGGATACCGTGTTAAGAAATGTAGGTATTAAATTATGTGTTTGGTATAATTTAAATAGTTTGAATTAAAAAGGTCTTAATTCGAAAAATAATTTTCAACACTAAAAAAATGTAGATTTGAAATGCATATAATATAGATATAGTTTAAATTTAATTAGAATATAAGAAAGTTTCATTGAGTATAGAAAATTATAATTTAATTAGGGGTGAAAAATTCCAAATGGCAATGATTAATACAAAAGATTCATAAAAAAAAAAATAAAACTTATATAGTACGGTAGGTGTCTAGTGTACCCCGTAAATGAGTAGGTCACCGTCAAGGATATATATTAAATTTGAATTCAATGGTAAATATTTAAAGGTATTTGATAAAAATGATTCTGAGCGGAGACATCCCAACTTTTTGGTCCAACCTAACTACCTAACCAGGGATATTAAACAATTATTTCAATAATTTTAACAAATGTTCATATTTCATTTCCTGATCAACTTCCAAAGTACAATTTTAGACCCAATTTGCTACAAGAAGCCTAACCCGGAGTTGATGATTCCAGAACTTTTTCCGCTGGGAAACGTGTTCAGATGTTCAGACCCAAAAATAAAATAAAAAAACACATCAATGTAAAACCAAAAAGCATTAGGCAATAGGTCACAGGTAGCCAATAAGAACATCTGTTTAGTTAAATAATTATATTTATATATTATTATTAAATGGTGAAAAACTTCATAAACGTGTTAGAAAAAAAATACATAAATATGTGCTGTAAATGATGCTTTTACATTATGAATAATAATTGTTGTTATTAAGTAAAATCAATAATGATATTGATTTCTACCTAATATTATAATATTATGTTCATACCAATTTTTCTTTTTTACAATTTATCATCACATTTACAATTGTGTAACAAACACGCATAGTCTGTAATAAAATAAAAAATATAATTTATATTAAATCTACATCAAATATATTCTGTTATTATTTATAGTGTACAAAAAAGTCGTATAAAGATAATAATGTAATTCTGGTTTACTAACTAAAAAAATCCAAATTATTAGGAAAGTATTTTGTGGGGTTTTTTTTAAATTGTATAATAATTTTTATTTATAAATCATTAATAGGCATCCATCGATTGCTGTTTTGACTTTTGGAACTTTTTCTAACTTTTGTGTTTAAGTTTTACCAACATAACTGTTTATGAAGAGTTACTATACTGTTTTTTAACTTCGGAAATAGGTATATCAAATAATAGTAAAATACATTACCTACTGTAACAGCAATCTAATACATAATATTATATAAATAATAAAATATACTTGGCCATATAGGCTGCAATCAATATAACTAACTTTTTTTGGAATTTTCTTTTGCAAAATAAGTTAAATTGTTAAAAATTGGAATTTTCAGTGGTATGATACTAGAAATCTATAAAGATATCAGAACTCATTTCCTAAAAGAAAATTTCAAATGAAATTAATACTTTTCTAAACAACGAGTGTTGTGTGTTAAATGAATAATTTATTTAAAACTGTATATTTTTATTTTGAAGCTTTTGTACATACAACATATAGTTTAGATTTTGCTTTATAATTATTTCCTTGGTTTTCTATGCTTATTAGATTGAAAATTTGGTTAGTTTCCACTATATCCATAAAATAATTACATTAGATACTAATAATAATATAATTAATCACTTTGCAAATCTAAACACAGAATCGATTTTATTCTTTAAGAGGTACACTAAATAACATAAATTTACTTTATTACTTTACAATCAATAAATACTATTTTTTTTGTATTTTAATGTTTATTAAATAATTTACATTTAAATAATTAAATATGTGCACTAATATTTTAATTCTGTGCTGTTAATTATACTTTTTGTTTACATAAAAGCCGACATTTTGAACATCTCACACCATGAGGTAAACTACCTAGTAATTATAGTGTGTTTGTATATAATATATATATTATATATAATGTATGGAGTTCTATCCCCCTAAAAAAGGGTCGAGGGACTCCACTGGCTCAAGGAAGTGTACTAGTAGGTACTAAATCTTATTAAATATAATATATTGTACTAATGATCAGCCGATTGGGAAACAAAAGAAATACTTTATCAATTATCTAGGCCGAAGATTCCACTGTTACAACTTAGAACGAATCATTCGAGGAGGTTGAAGAGACTGGAACGTCACACTTAATGATCCAAAAAATAGACTAATCACGGGTTTCTTCAGAGTTCAGACCGACCCCTCTTTGGAAATCAAAACAAGAAATGGTCATGAAAACTCAACATTTAGACAATTTTAAAGGAGCTCACTTAAGTCGAGAAAAATCTGAAATTAAGCACTAAAATGGATTTTTCTAAATATAAAATTTGCTAGGTGCTGCGTATGTTAATTATAATAATTAATAATTTAAAACTATAATATTCGGTGACCGAGTTTATACAAATAGTTATGGGGATACCAAAATATGCATAAATATATTTTGGGATTCGATGCCTTGGAAATAATGCAGTAATTTAACTTCATAATATATTAACTATTTTTTTGTTCTTTATTGTTCTTTTTTCTTTTTATTCTTCGTGAATGTACTTACCGCATAATTGTTTATTGGATATTAATTTAACAATATCTTTGGAGATTACTAAATAAAATTGATTTTTATTTTACTTATAGACTATAGGGGTTTTGTATTACTTTTTACTATATAATATTATGATTTATGACCAAAGTAAAAAAAGATCAAGGATTGTTCAATTAATCAATCTATAAGGGAATTTAATGTTTAGAAATATCAGAAATCTGAACATTGTAAATTTAAAATATTAGGGACGACAATATTTAAACTACCAACTTAAAACCTCAATATATATTCCTTTG